AATAGGCGGCGGCGGCGGCGGCCGCGGCGGCGGCAGCGGCGAAGTTCTGGGTGTGCAGGGCGAGGGGGGCGATGAGGCTGCCCAGCTCCTGCCCCGAGAAGGCGAAAGCGTTGTTGGCGCAGGGCGGCGAGAGCAGCTCCTCGCAGTAGGAGGCGGAGGCGGGCGGCGGCGGCGTGCGCGAACCGCCGGGGCTCTCCAGCAGGGCGGCGTCCAAGCGGCCGCCGGGCGGCGGTGGCGGCGGGGCGGCGCCGTGGGGGTGCGGGGGGTGATGGTGGTGATGGTGGGCGGAGAAGCCGGAGAAGCTCAGGCTGTGGTGCAGCTTGGGCCGCTCGCCGCCGCCGCCGCGGGGGTGCCCGAAGCCGCCGCCGCCCAGCGGGTGGTCGCGGGGGGCGAAGGCGCGGAGGTCGCCGGTGCTGCCGGCGGGGTGCGGGGGTGCGTGGTGCGGGTGGTGGTGCGGGCCGGCCGCGGCGGAGGGCGGGGGGGCGGCCGTGCCCCCGCCGGGCGCCGGGCGGCGCTCGTCGGCGTTGTGGATGAAGTGGCAGCGCGGGCCGTAGGGGCAGAARCCGATGGTGTGGAAGGTGCGGCAGAGCTCGGTCTTGTACTTGGGGTGGCGGGTGAGGCTGCGCAGCTCGTGGAAGCCGTGGGCGAACTGGCACTTCTCGCCGTACTTGCAGGCGCCGCTCTCCTCGAAGGGGCGGCATAGCTCCGTCTTGTAGCGCGTCGAGTTGATGGGGGCCCCGCCGCCGCCGGAGCCGCCCCCCTTGCCGGCCGCCTGCTGCTGCTGCTGAAGCTGCTGCATGAGGTGCTGGCTACGCTCGCCGTTCTCGCTGAAGGAGCGGTCCCGAAACTTGTTCTCCTTGTTGAGCAGGGCCGTGGGGCTGCTGCTACCGCCGCCTCCGCCGGAACCCGTCTCCTTCAGATTGCCGAACGAAGAGGAGGAGGAGGACGACGAGGAGGAGGAGGATGTGGAAGAAGAGCTGGAGCCGGTAGGGCTGGGGAACTTGGAGCCGCCGGCCAGCGCCGTCAGGTTGCTGGTCGAGTGCCGCCGCAGGAAGCCCGGCGCGAAGCTGGAGCTGGGAGGGGTCACCGGGGTCCCCACGGCTTTCTTGTCCAGCATGCTGCTGAGGTTGGTCAGGGACTTCTCCGTCTGCCGGGGCGGGGAGAGGGGAGGGGGTGGGGGAGACAGCGGGAGAGAGAGAGAGGGTGTTGCGGGTGACCGCCTGCCCACGGCCACGGCCCCCCACGCAGCACCGCCAGGCGCGCCGCAGGAGACGAGGCGGGGGTCGCGCCGCCCGACCGCCCCGCAAAGCGGGTCTGCCGCCAGCGCCGGCGGGGCAGGGCAACGGCGGCGAGAAGCCCCCGCGCCGGCYCTGCTGCATCTGCAACTTTTTTCAAAAGTTCCTCCCGGCAGCGCAACACGCGGGCAGGGGCTGCAGGGCGGCCCGGCTCTCCCGCRGCTGCAGGAATAGCCCGCCGCGAACGCGGCCGCTGGGAGACCACGGGGCAGCATTCCGGGGCTCGCAGCCCTGCGTTAGTCGCTGTCCCCGGTCGCCTGTCAGTCCGCGACCCGCCCGCAGAGCCCGGCCCGGCGCGGCCTCCCTCCCCGCCGCGCTGCCCCGACCCCGGCAGCCCGGAGCGTCGCCCTGCCCATCGCGGCAGCGGCAGCCCGCGTCCCGCCCGGGCAAAGGCGCTCTTTCCTACCTTGCACAAGAAGTCAATGTCGTAGAAGGCAGATAAAAGTGTCGTCGACATTTCTAGATCCTGTAATGGTCGGATATACAGGAAGGACCGAAAGATCCCGCTCTCCTCGGAGGGTTTGGAAAAGCCACGACTAGATAGGAGAGGGCCGTCTGMTTGAGATCCGAAACGGTCCCGACTCCTTCCCGGCGGGACGGCGGGTGCCGGGCCGAGGCGGCGACGGCGGCTGCACAGCAGCGGGCGAACTGCGGGAACTCCGCGGCKCCCCGCGCCGCTCCCATATAAACGCGACCGCCGACGGTCGGGGGGGCGGTGCCCCGTTCCGCCCGCCCCGCGCCGCCCGCCGGGCCCGCCCCGCTCCAGCCCGCCGGCCGGGCCGCCCCAAGTCTTGCAGAGGGCGCCGGCAGAGGCGGCGGGGCAGGTTGGTGGGCAGTACCTGTGCTGTAGTGAGCCCTCGGTACCCGCGAGCGTGGTGCGCCCGCAGCGCGGACAGGACGATGCGGTGGGAGCGGGGAAGCTGCCGAAGCAATGCCCACGGCGCTCTAYGGGCTCATCCCCTGTGGAGCGCCCCTCCGCACCAAAACCCGAAGCCCCCTCGTTGCCACGGGCCCGCCAGCGGCGGCCGCGTCCCCGGCTGGGTGGCGGCTGCCGCCGAGCGGAGGATGCGCGGGGCCGCGGGAGAGGTGCGGCAGCGCTGGGGATACTTCTTCCTCCCGCCCCACCGAAAATAAACTTTTGCCACGTAATTGCTTGAAACAAAGGTCGGGACCGCGCTGGTCCAGTGCGGCTGGCGGGACCGGGCCGGGTACGGGCTGCGCACCCCGCCGCTGCCCCCGTCTTTTCGGGGAGCTTGGTTTGGTGCTCACTTTTTCTGTTTGGAGTTTGGGAGAGGTTGGCGGGCACGCGCGGAAGCAAGGCGGTGTTAACCCCGAAAACGGCCTGGCTGATAAACGACCCCCACCTAACCCCGTCTGCAGCTCCGTGCCGCTCCCCGCACCCCTCCCACGTCTCCCTCCCACGCTCGCCSCCCCTTCCCTCCTCATCCCCGCCAAGGTCCTGTGACCCGCCCAGTCCCCCGGCCGCCCCCCCAAGTGCCGCCCGCCTGATGCCCCCCGCCGCCGGACCGCGGGCGAAGGCAGGGGCCGGACCCTGCGGCCGGGGGTCTCTCTGGGCACGGAGCCGGCCGCCGGCCAAGGCGAGCCGAGAGTCGCCGTGCAAAACACTSCCGCTGCTCCCGCGCCGATAAGGCCGCGCAAACACGACGTGGGAACGGCGGCGGCGGCAGCTCCTCTGCACCCCCATCCCCTCCCGCGTTTGCTCGGCTCCGGGACAAATGGGAAGGAGAACAGAGACGGATGGACGTGTAAAGTTTTATGGCTGCTAAAGCCAGCAGAGGTGTTTGATMCTCTTTAGCTTCCGAGCTGCGATAGCAGGCCCGCGAAATCCAAGGGAGCAAACCCGACCACGTCAGCAGAAGCGCGGCGCTGTGAAAACACATTTGCAAAGGAAAGAAACCTCGGCTGGGGGCGGGGGTGTCACCAGAGCCCCTCGAGCCGAGTGTCGCACTCGCCCCCCGCTGCCCAGCGGCTCACGCGGCCCTTTGGCTTCCTCCCCTCCTCCTCCTCCTCCTCCCACACCGCGGCGGGGGGGAGGCCGCAGGCGGGACCCTGCCCGGACCCTGCCACCGCCCGTGAGCCGTAACCCACGCCGGGACAAGCCCGCCAACGGGGATCGAAAATCTCCCGGGAAAGACGAGGAGCTGGGCGGCGGAAAGCCCCAACCTCGCTCCCTCCCCCGTCCCGGCATTTGGCTGGGGCCCGTCTCCCGCTCGGCGAGCGCTGCTGGACGCGGCCGGGCCGGCTCCTGGCCCCGCTCCCGGCCCCTCCCGCTGCCCGCGCGGCTGGCGGGGACGGGGTGCCCCCTAGCGGCCGCAGCGCCCGCCGGCAGGCGGTGCCGGGACACATCCCACGTTCCTGCTCCTTCCCCTCCTCCCGCCCTGCCGGGGGGCSACAGCTCCCGGCCCGGCGACAGGCGCTGCCCCGCACACGGGGAGACGCCGGAGCGCGGGGCTGCGCCCGTAACGTGCAGCGCTTCCCATAACCTTCTCYGGGGTCGGTCGCAGTCGCCTCCGCACTGACCCGGGTTCAAACCCTCCACCCACACAACTGGAAACTTCACCTCGGAGCTGATCCTGCCCGCCAGCCAACTGAGGGAAGAGTTTACTGTGACAATCGTGCACGGATCAATGTGTCAACGCCATTGGGAGGAATACTTTGATAAGCTGACTTTGATCAAACACACGGCCGATAAGTGCTCYGGCATCAGGTTTTGCTAACCCTCTCCTGCAATCGCTGCTCAGGGTTTAAAGGTTCTTCGCTGAGTAGTTACACAGTAACCCATCATCAGCACCGTGTGATGAAATGTATGTGCACTGATATAATTCTTATTTGCTCTCTTATAAACTGAAGCGGGATGACAGAGGTTCCAGTTGCATCTTAAAACCACAATAAGGAAGACCAAGTTTTTGAGCTGCTGGGTAACTGATTAACCAAGTCCTCAAGGCTTCACCAAGTTTTACAGTCACTGTGGGTCTATTATATGCTGTCACCTGTCTGCATCTATCAATTTGCCAGTAACAAAAATATATGCATATGCGTTTTAAATTCCGAATTAAAAAAAAAAAAGCCAGTTACTAGATAGTCTTATGCTACTCACTGACATGAGCAAGGTCTCAGAACTGTACGGTGATTTTGATACATACAAAGTTATTTTTGTCTCCTACTACAGAAACGGTTGCCACATTAGTCCAAAAATGATGGAAATATCTGCATCTATTAATTAATTGTACAGATCTTGACTATTTTAAAAGAATGGCTTCCAGACATAATCTGGGCTATTCTTACCCCATGAGCTCAAACCAGATGCAAACAAATTAATTTTTAGCCTAACTTGCAGCATGGCTCATTAASTTACACAGATAGCGGGCATTTCTGTGAAACAAAACTTCAGATTCCAGAATTCCTCTTTTGCCTCAAGTTTCATGGTAAATTACTTTTCATATAAGTAACCCTGAATCTTGGAAACTTAGAGCAAGTATTAAACTTTTATTCCTAAATTCCGTTTGCTGCGGTTTATTGTGCATTGTTCAGATGTCCGCTAGCCTCAGCTCGGCAGCTTGACTCTATTTACAGCAGTCTGTTTAAACTCAGGRGAACAGCAATCGGCTGTCGGGCACCGCAGCACCCAGCACTGCGAGCGGCCACGGCCCAAGCCTTACGCTGCCCGGGCTGAGCCCCATCCTGGCACTCCGGGAGCTCGATTCCATCCAGACCGATCCCGATGCAGGCACGGCGGGAGGCCGATTCCATCCAGGCCGGTCCCGATCCCGATCCCGATCCCGATCCGATCCCGGCGCGGTTGAGCGCGGGCCCGGCCGTGCAGGCGGTGCTGCAGCGCCACCTGGCGGCCATGCGGGCACCAGGCCGAGCTGCTGTGGCCCGGCCGCGGGGCAAGGGCCCGGGCATTACCGGGCGACACCGAAATACAGGGCTAAATGCGCTCACACACCAGCAGCTGGAGAGGCTGAAAGCAACCATTACATATGTTCGTCCTTCATTAGTTATGTTCGTCCAAGGAGAGCGAAATGACAGCATACAGGGATGCACATCTGTGTTGTGGCGGGTCAAGCCACGCTGCTGCCACATGTCCAGTCGCAGCCTTTGGCTATAGGAAGGTAACACAACCTTTTCAYATCAGTATTTATTTTCGATGTCTCATTTTCATATTGAAATCCAATTCTAGTTCGCAGAAAAAAATCCATTCAATGCACAAGTGCATTTGTTACAAATACAGCAAGACCCTGGAGCACTCAGGACAGTCCCTACAGGAGCCCCACCTGAACACTGGTGAGAGCATCTCCCAAAAGCAAGGGCTGCAGCACAGAAACACCTCTGACAGACTTCCGAGGGGCCTCACACTCCTCAGCAGGACCTCACTTTCCAGGCCTGCTTGTAGAGCRAGGTGTTTTGAAGTAAAGATGAAACTGTTTTGTTTGCAATTGAACAGCTGCTTCGTTTTGAACACAGCAGTCTTCATTTTAGAGCCATTTTATGAAAGTAGTTATTTGATTTAAAGSAGAAAAGAGGCATGCAGAAAACTAACTAATGCTGTTTCCATGTGCAAAACAAGGTTACTACCAAAGTGAAAATCCTTGTCTTCCTCCAGAGGAAAATGCAGTAAAACTTGAAATGTACTCTAAAAATTGCCATAAACAAAGAAGTCACACTTTGTTTTTCTATTAGAAACACTTAACGATTTAGAAAAGGCATATTAATTTAATAATTAACATGCTACATCTTGAAAGGAGACAAAAAAATAAACTTTTTCTTGTATTAAGATACAGGAGGTAAAGATGTGGGATAAAACCTAACAGAACTACAGGTGGCCTGCACCTGGATGCACGGAAAATATTAGATTTAGCTGCTTTACTTCCTACAGTAGCTGTAATAAACAATGCTCAGCTGAATGAAATTAGCAAATGCATTTAAAAGTCTCCCACTGCACATTTATTWAAAAAAAATAAAACAAACCAATGGACAATTAATCAATATAAAAAATGTAGTTCTAGACTGAATATTGAAGGTATTGCAGGTTGCCTGGAGTCATCACAGCAATTCCTGATTCCTTGAGTATTGCTGGTATTCATTCTCCCTGCCCATGAAGAACATGTGCAGCTCCCTGAGGATGAAGTTTTAGTAATTTACTTTTCCAGATTTTCACTTCTGCAAGTGCTGTCAGACTTCAGCAGATCTAATATTTTAAGACAGACCAATACTCTCTCCTTTTGAATAGCCAATCTTGTGAATTCTGGAGTTTTGGAAAACTCTGGAGCCCGAGGTAGAGCTCCAAGAAGGTGTTCAGTGAGTTGGGCTTGGTCCARTGCTATTCTTGATAGTTGATTAAGTTCCCCGTGATCTGGGAAGGTCAGATGAGTCACTGATATCAGATGTAAAAGGTGCTTACTAAGTTGTCTAACATGAGTCAGCTTCTCTGCCCAAAAATTCACTTCACCTTTATCAAAGAGGGAGTCATCTTCTTCCTTAACAAAAAGAAAACCAACAGCAATTAGAAAATGACTTGTGGACAATGCAGAAATCATAAAAGATATAAAAAACTATATATACAGAAATAATGACAATAGAGGCTGTCACAGAACAGCTTTTGTATTAAAAAAGGTAAAAATTAATACACATTTTTTTGAGGGGGGGTTGGGAAAATATAGTAAAGA